CCTGGACCCAAACACTGCTGGTTCAAAACTCACCCTGTCTGAAGATCTGACCAGTGGGACTGGAGGAGAGAAACAGAAGCTTCCTGATAATCCAGAGAGGTTTGGGTTTTGGTGGGGTTCTGTCCTGAGTTCTGAGGGCTTTAACTCAGGGAACCACAGCTGGGATGTTGATGTTGGAGACAGTGTATACTGGAGACTTGGTGTGATAGAAGAGTCTGTTCATAGGAAGGGAGACTTATGGTCTCGATTGTTGGTTATATGGTGCAATGGAGGTAAATACTCAGCAGAGTCTCCATCATCTCCTTCCAAACATCTCTCAGTTCAGAGGAAGCTCCAGAGGATCAGAGTGAATCTGGACTGGGACAGAGGAAAGCTGTCCTTCTCTGATCTGGACACTAACACACACATACACACCTTCACACACACCTTCACTGACAAGATATTTCCATACTTCAACACTGTGGGTAAAATAAAAATCTTACCCATGAAGATCTCAGTGAGCAAACAGCAGCTCTGATGTTCTCAGCATGAAGAACACAAAGTCCAAATGAAACCTTATTGATCTGATTGAAACTCAGTGTTTGAAACAGGAAACTGGAGATGATCTGATCTGATCTGACTGATCATCTGGTTGTTTTCAGGTCAGTTTCAGATCTGCTTCATAATCTGTCCAGATGCTACAAACTAAGACATGAAGTGGATGATGTGGAGTTTACTTTGGTTCTGACAGCAGATCCAGGTGTGCTGATCATGAACAGGGAATAGGTGAGGTTAGTGGAGACATGAGGACCCTGGAGAGCTCTGCTGATGGAAACAAACAGAGATCCAAACATCCAGACTGATGAACGCTGCAGAAGAAACTCTGAGAGGTTTTCATGTTCAGTTCAGGAACAACTCATCAGGTCTGGACTTGAGTTTGGCTTTATTAAGTGTTTAGTCCTGTTTCTTTCCTAGACATAGCCATGAGCTCAGCTTTCACTCTAACTGCATGTGATCTCTTTTATCCTTGTTGACATTACAACAAGCTCAGGGATCATCTGCTTAACTTTATTTTTCCTAGACAGAGCAGCCTATGGAGCTATTCTACTGTTCCCTTTTCTAACATAGAAAGTTTTTATAGATCAATGCTTCTATTTTTCTTTATGTATGTTTGCTTCAGTCTCCTTGAACTCTAGTCAGCCTCAGCAGAAGGCCACACACACTGAGCCTGGTTCTGCTGCAGGTTTCTTCCTGTTAAAAGAGAGCTTTTCCTCTTCACTGTCTCAGCATGCATGTTTGGTGTGAGGGATTGCTGCAGAGTCAACAAAACAAGGCAGCAAATAGTTGCTGTCGCTACATGCTCATCCAGGAGGAGTCAATCCTGCAAAGTTAATGACAATCAGCCTGGTTTCCTTAGATAGAAGTCTTTTAATGATCTGTATGTATTATTTGATTGAATTGTCTCAAGTGTCTTGATATGGAGGAGAATCACTAAAAAGGAAAAAACATTTCAAATGAAATATTTAAATAAAGTATTTAGAAATCCATATATCAAAGCATTTTGTAATTGTAACTATATTTGTTATTTCGTTATTAAATGCTAAAATTTGAAATCGGATGTAACTAGCTCTCTCATTGGTTAGACAGCCACACTTATATCACAACATGATGGCTACCATAGGAAGTGCTGATTTACTGCTCCGCCTGCTACCTTTGTAACTCCAGACAAAGTGAAAACTCACACCAACATTTCCTATTTGGCAGAATTACAGTTCGATCTGATCAGATTTGAGAGAAACTAATCTTCTGAATGCTGGACGGATGATTCATAAGTTTTGCCTTATATGCAGAAGTCTCCTTTAAGGTGTTTGCATCATTGGCACCTGCTCTGTTGATGTAGTTAGCCAAAGTGATTAATGCCTGTGTAATTCTCAGTCATCAGGGTCATGGCATGTCCATTCCATGCACAATAGAAGACTCCAACCATCCAGAAATACAAGGGGCGACTATTTGATTTCCATCTGACTTTTAATGTTCTTAGGAGGATGGACCTCCATGCTGCTTAAATACATCAGAGCTCCAACTACAGATTGCTCTGTGCGAGCCGACAGAAAAGATAAAGACTCCTGCATAGGTGTCGAAATGTCTTCAAATAAACTGAGTTAAAGTCTGGTTGCCTTCCAATTTCAGCCTGTTTGTGGTTCCAAAGTGATAAAGTTATCCATTGTGATGCTCCAAATAATACTTGCTGCCTCATCCTCCATGTGCGAGCTTTATTTATGATTTATCTACTAACCAAACACCAAATAGTCCACATTTGAATTGAGGTGTGACGACCATTCAAAACAACAACAGATGCGCTAGGAAGAATTTTGGCAAGAATTTTGCAGAAGAAACTAGGACATTGATCCAGAAAATCCAAACCTTGATGATGGACTGTTTGACTCTTAGAAAGTGTGTTTTTAACTATTCTTCACAGTCTAGGAGGAAACTTACCCATTTTTTCATATTCCAACCTGTTATCTGTTTTGCTTTCATGTTCTGTATCTAAAATAATTTACATACTAGACTACATATTATATAAAAAATCAGGATCCTTTTCAATTAACGTAGCCTGCATCATCCAAAAAACAAGTTTTGCTATTCAAAGACACGTCCCTGAAGAAGTGTGACAAATGTGCTTCAATTAAAAATGTAGGTGGAAGGTATGGAGCACCAGAAGTCTGATTTAGCTGTCTTTAGATAAATCCTCTATAATTCTCAAACATGTCGGGATTTTGAGTGACCCTGAAAGCTGAAACCCAGACAGATGGACAGACAGACTGGGAAACAGACAGGGGAGGAGCTGAGGACAGACAGACACAGAGTCTACCTTACTGTTTCCAGCTAGAGCTGAAACCTTTGGTTCTCCTGCAGCTCTCAGAGAGATGTGTGTCGCTGCGCGATGACACTGAGTTTGTGTTTCTGTTTTAGAACCGATGTGTAGAGCAGAGCGGTGAGGAAGAGGAGGAGGAAGGGGGAGACAGGTCCAACATGTGTCTTCCTGCCTTGGAGAAAACTCTGCCAACCTGCTGCAGCGAATCTGAGCCGATTTAAGAGCAGAAAATAAACTGAAGGGGAGGTCACAATCAGGTCAGAGGATCTGCAGGTCCAAACGGATCACTGAACAAAAATAATCAGAAATATAATGATGATGGAGGATTTAATGAAACTCACACTAAATCATGATCTTCACTGAGACTTTAAAGTCCTCATGTGATCAGAACCAACCTTATGCTGTTTGCTGAAACCTGGAGGTCCAATAGATCTAAGAACCTCCTGAATAAATGATGACAGTCTGATCAGATGGAGTACATACACTTATGGCTCCATATCTGCAGTGTGTGGCTCCCCCTTCAGGCCTGAAATCACTGAGTGACTCAGTCACAGGTCCACCCACAGCTGCTGGAAATGGTCCTGAAGATCCAGCAACATGGTGGAGACCTGGACTGGGTGGAACAAGTCTCCATCAGTCTGGGTCAGTTTAGGATGGAAACACAGACATGAGATCCGTGGTTCCAGATGTTCTCAACATCTGGGTTAATTTCTGCTAAAATCAGTCCTAGTTAGTTTAACTTGGTCAGAACTGTTTTTTCTTATTTCCTTCCTTTGAGGATGATCCAGTGTCTCTGAAATTAAAGGAGATCAGAACCAGTAATTCTACAGATTTAAATGATCGAATATGAACCATCAGTTGGTTGATCTGTTCTGTTTCTGCTCTCAATATCAGAGAACAGCAATTATCTGGAATCCAAATGAAGCTTCTTCCTGTTTCCTGATGATTTATACTGAAACATTCAGTGATCCGATCTGTTTTTCCTTCTGCAGGAGAAGTTTCCCTTAGCTAATTACTCCACATCCATATTTTAAGAGCTTTTGTTACTCAGAAGTACAACAGACTTAGTACGGACATAGTTGTGCATTGCAACAAACATTTTCTCTCCAGCTCACCACATGGCACTGCTGACTCACTTTCAACATGGCTGAGTCCTTGGTGTCACTGAAACAGATGTTCTAAGCACCAATTCCAAGTAGGTATCACTATCAATTTCCATTCTTTTAAAATCAATACTACAAAAGATGAATCATGAATGTGTATAGATATGACACATGCCAATTAGTAGATTTTATCTCCTCTGGGTTTTTCACCAGAGGCATCTCGATTTCAATGTTGTGGATTAGCAATGTGTGCCCAAACAGGAACCAATGGATGCTACATGCTTTATCTACTAGTTTGCCTATTTTGAGCAACAGTTTAACAAAAACTGCCTTCTCAAGAGGTTTTCAGATGTCGGTGGAGAAAAAGTTTGAGAAAAAGTTGTCTCTAATTTTGTGAGAGAAAAATTTTTTATCGAATTTTGTCTTGTTAATTTTTTTTTTTTTTTTTTTTGTGACATTCAAATTAAGTTAACGTTCATATCAGATTCAGTCTTCAGTGTTAATTTACCACTCCGGGCCACTGTTGCAAATCGGCAACATCCCAGAATTCATTGCATGTGAAGGTCTCTCTCTCTCAAAAAAAGTCTGAATTCTATATTACTTCCCCATATGATATTTTCTCCAAATATCAGATTTTTTCTGCAGCTACAAGTAAATTTGAGCCTGAGAGGGTTAATTTCAAGATTTCACATCAAGACTGAATTACATGTCTGTTAATACTATGGTATTTTCCTATTTACAAATTATGCAGGAATGACGGCATATACTTTTATGCTATGTCTGTGCATTAGCCTTTAAAAATGTTTGGGTTGCTTTTTGCAATTAATATAACATGCAATACAATTCAGCACATGATTTTCTAACGTTAGACCCAATGTCGATAGATAACTCAGTCCATATCTCGAGTCAATCCAAGATGTCCAGAATAATGTTAAGCTACATACTATACTATAAGATACATCAGCGTATTTATGGATTTTCTTGGTTAGTTCATCCACTGACTGTGAAATTACCGGAGAATTGTCTACCAACAGCAAATCACTTGTTTTTGAAGTCAAATTCTACACAGGTAGGCATTTTACTGTGCATCTCAATGGTAGTTGGGAGTACCAATATGGCAGCCGGTGGCTTCACTTTTTTCAGGCTATCTGGAATCCAATGAATAAATAGAGATCATTGGGCCCTGTTGTCATACAGCCTCTAATAATCCTGGATTATTAGATCTAATCTGATTGGCTCAGAGCACAGAGGTCAGCAGCTAAACCAGCTGTTATCAGATTAGACAGTTTGATTGTTTCTGTTCAGTCAGTTTTGAACTGAAGGCTTAAAATCAGGATTATAGAAGTTTGTTGTTTTAATGAAAAATAATCATGTGATTTTAAAAGCAGCAGATAAATGAGGCAGATGTCATAAATAATTTCCCTAATTTTACTGCTTCTTTATGGAGATGTTTGGTTCCCAGTATCTGAAACTGCTGTTTCAGAGGAAACAAGTTTTTGTGACAGCTTAAAAAAGACTAAATCTAGGCTTTCTATCTAAATACATTAAACTTTAGCTCCTCTTTGTTCACCCTTTATGGGGTCCACAGTGAAGCCCAGAACAGACCAAACTGATTTTGCATCCAATCCAACAGAAAATGTATTTGGTACAGAAGAGGTTGTGATGTTTAGTGCTCATTGAAAGTCAAGGGGATGATCAAACCAAACACAATTTCCTGCAGGGGGCAGCGTAGCTCCGACTGAGATAGAGCCCAGCAATTTCATGGGTGTAACCGGAAAACAGACGCAGTTACCAAGAAAAACACATCCGCCTTGGGTTCTGTTAATCTGTCAAATCTGTTAATCGCATATATAGAAGACAGAGCAGAGTCAAGCATAAACAATGAATAAAATAAATAAAAAACTACTTTACTTATGATTGTAGAGTTCAGGAGGACAACAAAACAGATTAAGAGGTGATGAAAACAAGGAGCAGACAGTGCTGGTAACTCAGCTTATCAATCTGTCCTCTTTAAAAACAAAAAAAAGAACTTGACCAAACTTTCTCTCTGAGCATCAGCTTTTGCTGCCTCAGACAGTATAGGAACCTTCCACAGCCTTTATTGCTGCATTTTCCTTTGCTTCACACTAAGTTCCCATTATGCTTTTAATATAGGTC